TCCATATGTATAACCAACCCCCGAACCATAGATCTCTTAGCATTGTTGTTACACTGCGCACTTAAGTTTTTTTTTTCCGATCTTTACCCTTTCCTTTGGATAAATCAAAGCTCGGTGGTGAACTTCATAGATTTATTATTCAAGTTAATAGGATAGTTTAAAATTTGATTCTCACTGCAACACACATAGATGAAACCTTGATCTTCAAGTACCACCACTTAATCACATCAGATGATAACATCACTTGTCATCATCAAAACTAAGAACCTCGATCTAATGAAGATTTCACTTAAGAGAGTTGTAAACATCAAAACCAAACATATTACTACATATATCATATATGCAAGCGCATAGATCCACAGAGGCCATATCTAGAGATACAAGATGCATATCCAAAGAATGGAGACGAAGCAACCATCTAGACTTCAACAACACCAATTATCATGTTCACTATTGTGGAAATGAACCATAGTGGTGAAGTTAAACTATAGTTTGGCATGCATTAGAACATCCCTGGTCTGCTGAGGTGCTTTAAAGAAAAACATGAAATTCAATTGTCCCATCAATGGATATTTTAAAATTGTAAAGACTACAACAAGGAAAAAAATTTCATTGGAGAAACTGCCACGACCCTGTCATGATGGACTATGTCATGCCAACTGAATGTAAACTAATTCGTAAATACATGACATTTTATATATCAATTGCAATTTCCTATCTGTACAGACATAGATTGTTAGTTAACCCACGTGAACAACCATCATGTTCAAACTTCCAAGACACCAAACAACAAACATACACCCATATCTCAACAGAAAAAATATTTCAAACCATACAACAACCTTTCATTAACACTCAAAACCAATACATGTCAAACACTCAATTACAAAACCAAAAGTATAACCTTTTCTACCTACAATAACCGCAATATTTTAATCCAAACACCAACCACCAACCTATCATACCCATACCAATATACACAACAAACACCTTAGATAAACATCAACTACTAAACACTGTAGCAATAAATTAATTTTTACCCAACATGACCATTCATACCAAATCCACCCATCCACCAATTGTCTTCCAACTATTACAACAACAATCCACATAACAACGCAACAAAAATTTGAAGCACAACGAATTAAATTATGATAATGCAATGGTGATTCTATAATTCTTAGAGGTCAAGTATGACTTTTTTCTTTTTGGTGAGCACGTGGGGACTTCTACCTATCCACCTCAGGAAAACCAACACAGACCTCAACGACATATACCACCACATCGGTGAGGAACAAGAGGCCACTTTGAAAGACTGAATCAATGATGTAAAAAATTGTTTAAATAATTTCAATCTAATTTTAATTAACAAGGTGCTGCCTACTCCTTTAAGAATTGGATCTAGCATCTAAATATGACATAAAAAAATTAAGTTTTTTGTATGGGCTGCTTATCATGAATCTTTACCAACTAGGCGATTGTTACACAATAAGGGGTGCTTCAGATGTCTACTTTCTCAAGATGTACTGATATAAATGAGACTATTTTGCACTGCATTTGAGATTGTATTTTTTCTAGACAAGTTTAGCTTTGCGTTGGTTTTTATAACACTATTTTTTTTTGTCTCTAACAACTTGGAATGGCTTCAGACAGGAATCGAGTCTGACAGGTTTCACATGTTCCTGGATACTTGTTGATGACTTTGGAGGTGAAGGAACCAACTTTGTATGGAGAATTAAAATGTATATGTTTATCATCTTAAGCTGCAGATTTTCAAGTTTGTGAAGACTCTATTGGACGCACTTCACTCTCGAGAGGTTATAGTAGCAAATAACACATGGATTTCTTAACATGCAGTGACAGAGACAGCTATAATTATCAATGTAGATGACAGTAGTCAGGGGAACCCAATCCATCTAAGCTTGGGGGTGTGATTAGGCAGTCAGGTGGTTCTTAGTTAATTGGTTTTGCTGGTAGTGTTGGTGTTTCTACATTCCTTCATGTAGAACTTCTTGTTTTATACCATGGACTCACAATAGCATGTAATAAAGGGATCAAATATTTGGTTTGTTATTCTGATTCTACTCTTGTTATACATTTAGTAAAGACAGAAATTAACCCTTGACACCATTTTGCATCTATTGATTTAAACATTAAGGAGTTGTTGGGGAGAGACTGATAAGTCATTTTTAAGCATTCTTGGAAAGAAGCTCATGATGCAACTGATTGCTTGGCCAAAATTAAGGCTACTGGATCAGTTTTTTGATTAGAATTTTCTATTCTACTTGATGAGTTACTTCTATTTTGCAGGCAGATACATATAGTGTACTACTTGAGAGATGCTAGTCATCGATTTTTTTTTCTAGTTGTCTTTCTTTTAGTTGTTTTTTACTTTTATTTTCTCTTATCCTAAAAAACAATTAAATAACTAAATAATTAAGGATAAAAACATCTCATTAGACTTAAGTGAATCATTCAATATATTAATGGAGTCTAAATACATATAAAATTATAAATATTATGCAACCTAAAAGTGTTCACAATATTGAATTGATAAGCGACTTCAACAATACTAAGCAAATTTAATGTATTTTAGATAATGATCAAACTTGATAGAAAAACACCACACATGCATGCATCTATATCTATATAAACACTCCTATTTGTATATACATCAACAATGGGATGAGATTCATGTAATTTGTTTATCCCATAACAAAATATTCGATAGAAGGTTGCTTGGGTAGGGGGTATCCTTCCACGCAGTTGGACATTGTCCCCTAGGTTAGGTTAGGTCCTACAATAGGGAGCAAAATCTGCTATATATTTTGGATGAGAAGGCCACGGTTGATTAATTAGCTGCATTTCATTAATTTAATTTTTTATCATTATAACTAGAAGCCCCACACTTTTACCATTTGTGAAGCAGAATCATCAGTTTTCCATCAACCACTTCACTAACCGACAGAGACATTTTGTCTACCTTATGTTCTTGTGGTGCCATGCCATGCCATGCTCCATTCATTTTTAAGTTACCATTATAATTTTTTTTATTATTTAGAAAAAGAATAGTAAATATCATGAAATTGAAATGTCAAATATCAAAATATCAAAAATTTATATTGATCTTCACTATTTGTGTTAGACCAGCATATGTCAATGCTTCAACTTTCAATATCTCTATACATTTTTATTGAATTAAGACTGTTTGTATCTTCATCTTCAAAAACTTCAAGTTATCATCCAAATTATTGATAAATAATGGGTATGTCAAACAAAAATAGTTTATCAAACCTTCTACTATTTCCTAACCCACTTTCGTAACTTCAAAACTTATTAACCCCAATTCATGATGGATGCATTGCATATTCTTAATGCACTAATGGCATAATTAAGGAGGAAAAAAATGCCACATGCTTTGCATCCAAATTGACGTGACACATTCTGAATCTCAACTAGTCAATCTCACAATTCAATTCTTACTCATTAATAACACAATAATATACTTAATTATTGCCTTTGCTTAATAAACAACAACAGTTACCCTGTAACAATGATGTGTCATTTCATATGAGTCTTTATCATGAAACAGATTAGGAGTATCAAAGCGTTACAAGTTCACCATAATCTTATTCTTAAAATTCCAAAACTACCATGATTAATTTGAAATTCCAGCTCTATAAAAGGGCCCACTAAATTCTTATACAATTTGAATCAATAACTAAAATAATTTTTTGAATTACAAAAAAGTTGATTGACCAAATTAACGTGATGTTTTGTGGTTGAGCATTAACGAAGTAGACAAACTCAACCACTTCCAACTTCTCAATTAGATTTTTTTTTTTAAGTGTTTGAATATTTAAATGTTTATTTGAATTCTGAAGGAGGGATTTTATTCTAAGTTAAGTTAGGAAGGACGTTGCACTTAACTTTTCCTAGATTATATAAACTTTTTTTTCCTTAGCAACCATATTTTACTATACACTAATAAACAAGAGGGTCGTGTCTCAATGGTGTTAAGTGACTCTAATCATGACTCCTAAAGAAACTTAACTATATTTTATGTGCTCAATATTATACAATATACACAAAAGTGGAATTTTCACTTGTATGAGTAAATTCCAATTTGCAAAAGTCACTAAAATCCCGCAATCACTTATTCCGAGATAAAAATAAAAGCGGTTATGGTAGTTTATTATTTGTTTATTTGTTAATTTTGTATAATCTTGGTTATATAATACATAGTCTATTCAAAAGCTTTAGTGCTTGATTATATGAAAATCGGACTAATATCTCATTATAAATATATTTAAAGTTGTTCCATAAATTGAATTAAATTTCGTAAAATGAAAGTGACTAAAATTGATTAACAAAATCATAGTGATTTACATCAATCAAATTCATATAAAATAATTATTGAATTTCCTTTTCTGAGTTGCATATCAGAATTAAAATTGAATTAAAAAAAGTGGGAAATCATTCATGGCAGGTTAAAGTGTTAAATTTAAAAGTAAAATAAAAATAAAAGAAATGAGAGGTGAATTGCACGCGCTGTTAATTTAAGTAAAGTGAAAATGATATAACGTTATAAAAAAAAGTTAGGTATTGAGAAATAAAGAAAAGAATCAAAATGACATTTTAGTCCAAATATTATGAAAGAGTATGTTTGGAAGATAGTGGGTGGGGTTCGGAACCGAAGCATGTGGTAAGGAGAAACCCGAAGCAAGAAAGAGAGTAGTGGAAGGAAGAGTATAACTATAACTATATAGTATAAAGCAGATACAGAAAGAAAAGAAAGAAAGAAAAAGAAAAAGGAACGAGTATTTGTGTTGCGTTGTGTACAGAGAAAAAGGGAAAGGTTACAACGAAGAAGAATAGAATCTATATCTCTCTATGTTTGAAACTTCATTCATAATATTAACACAGATACAAAGAAAGTAACAGAATAAGATCATAGTAAGAGGACAATGTTGATGAGTTGAAATTTATCTCTGGTTGTTATGGCGGCATTTTCGTTTTCAGTGGCGTCTGTTGTTGAGGATGTTCTTCAACAACATGGTACTCGTCTCAAAGATCTTGATTTGGAATCTAGAAAATCAGAAGAAGCTGGTAATTTTTCGTTGTTGTTAAAATTCATGGGTATAATTGTCCTAAGAATGTTTCGAATTATCATGGTTGATTTTAATGATATGATCTTTGTCAAATTATGCAGCATTAAGAAGATATGAAGCGGCTGGGTGGTTGAGAAAAATGGTTGGAGTTGTTGCAGCTAAAGATTTACCGGCAGAGCCTTCTGAGGAAGAGTTTAGGCTTGGTTTGAGGAGTGGGATCATTCTTTGTAATGTTATTAACAAGGTTCAACCTGGTGCTGTATGTAAGGTGAGATTGGTCATGATTTGTTTACTATGTTTTTGGTTTTTGTTTGTTGTTTACTAAGGTAAATTATGTGGTTTTTTTAAGGTTGTGGAGAGTCCAGTTGATTCTGGACTTATCCCCGATGGAGCACCGTTATCCGCATTCCAGTATTTTGAAAATGTTAGAAACTTTCTAGTGGCGGTTCAGGAAATCGGAATTCCGACTTTTGAGGCTTCTGATCTAGAACAAGTATGTAAAGGACAATATTTCTTTTTTGCTTTTTCAAATTTTTTAGTAAGGAATGTATCATGGTGAATTGAGTTGTCATTAGATAATTGAGCATTTCTTATTTTGAAAGTTCATTAACATTTTATTTTGGTTTTATTGTATGTAATTGATTTATGTTTTTAGGGAGGAAAATCATCGAGGGTCGTGAACAGTGTATTGGCCCTTAAATCCTATAGTGAATGGAAACAAACTGGGGCTAATGGTGTGTGGAAATTTGGTGGAACTATCAAACCTGCAAGCACGGCGAAATCTTTTGTGAGAAAAAACTCTGAGCCATTTACCAATTCCTTGTCAAGAACCTCTTCAATAAATGAAAAATCTATGACTTCTCTTACCTCTGATGTCGAGTCTAATAAAATGGTTGGTAAGCTTTATTTTTTACATCTTATATGTGCTATGGTGCTTAGTTAGCAAACTGAATAACCAAGTGGATTTTTTTTTATGTTTGCAGTCAAGTTCTCATTCTTTAGGTATGCTTGTTCGTGCAATGCTATTCGATAAGAAGCCGGAAGAAGTTCCAACGGTATGGAGATATGTTTTAATGTGTCTCACAAAAGAATTTAATTTAGAAAAATGAAGTTAGTACAAGTCTGTTATGTTATAAATGCGATGCGTTTGCTAGATTGTTATGCATCCGAAAATTGGACACATATCTATAAAAATCATTAAGGTGTTTCTTCCTTTTAGTTTCCGTGGCAATTTCATTTGCTTGAAACGCTGAAAAATGCACCCTGAATGCAGAATTGACAGTCCCATCTAGCAGTACTGCACTATAGTCTCTTGCTGCTGCATTTCAATCTTGTCACTCAATACTCATAATACTAAGAGCGCCTTTGAGATTACTTTCTTAAAGTAATATTGTTCTTCTGCATGGAACAGTTGGTTGAATCTGTTTTGACTAAAGTCGTAGAGGAGTTTGAGCAACGCGTTGCAAGCCAGGATGAACAGGTATGATACTTTTCGTCTGTAAGTGATGTCTTTATTTTACTTAATTTTTAGGAGGGGAATTCTTGCCGAAGTTGATTTTTATGACGAGTTGCGTTCTTTGTTATTTAACACAACATAGACAAAAACAACTTCAAGAGGATCATTACCTCAAAGCGATGGACCTTTAGCAAAGTTTACTATGGCACGTAAAAAGGTAATAGTATTTGTTTCACACTTAACATGTTTATGGACCTTCATAAAAATTTCAAATGCTTGATTCTTATGCCGCGGTCTTTGAATGATTAGGTGGATAACAAGAATCTTATGGTAACAAAGAAAGAGGAGGTCGTCCATAAAAATCATGTTGCTGACGAGGAATCACGGGAAAAAGTTCTGAGGCAGCAAATGCTCTTTGATCAACGGCAAAGAGATATTCAAGTACGGAGCAACAAAGATATTATGAATCATTTTAAATTTTAAAATTGCTAATTTATTAGTAAAATATTTCCATCTTTGTGTTTTTTTAGGAATTGAAATATACAGTTCAAACAACCAAAGCTGGTATGCAGTTCATGCAAAAGAAATTTCATGAGGAGTTCTCCAATTTAGGTAATACTTTACTAACATTTTGTGATTGATTTATCTCGAGTTGACATTACAATATTGTTCCAATCCTTTCTATTTTGTCTCATATGTAATAATTATTGAATTAGACGTTTCATTGTATCTTAGTTTCCATTTCCCTTTATAGGCATGCACATTCATGGCTTAGCTCATGCGGCTTCTGGATATCATAGAGTTCTTGAAGAAAATCGCAAACTATACAATGAAGTCCAAGATCTTAAGGGTAATAAGATTAATGGTTGCAACTTGCATGGCTATTTTAAGCTTCTATTTTACCCGTACTTTTGTAAAGGTTTTATGGCAAAATAAAATTAAGGCAGGTAACTTTGTTTAATTAGGAAGTATTAGGGTGTACTGTCGAGTAAGACCTTTCTTATCTGGTCAACCAAATCATTTGAGTACTGTGGAGAACATAGAAGATGGAGTTATCACTATTAATGTTCCCTCAAAGAATGGGAAAGCGCGCAGATCCTTCAACTTCAACAAAGTTTTTGGACCATCCGCAGCCCAAGGTTCGTTGATGTTTCAGTTTCAATTATCTATCATATTACTATATTTTTGTATGTGTTTGAAAATTTTGTCTTGTGTTCAGGGGAGGTCTTCGCTGATATGCAGCCACTCATTAGGTCTGTTCTTGATGGTTTTAATGTTTGCATATTTGCTTATGGCCAAACAGGATCCGGAAAAACTTTCACCATGGTAAGATGCTCTATCATAAGAAAAAACTTGAATATTTTCGTGTCATTTTCTTGTTAGTGATTTTAAAATGTAAACTATGTATATACAAATTGAAGTTGTCACCTTGAATATTTAATGACTTTTTTATTTTTAAATTTTAAATGTAGACTGGACCAAAAGAGATCACAGAAAAAAGCCAAGGTGTAAATTACAGGGCTCTTAGTGATTTGTTCTTTATGGCGAATCAAAGAAAGGACACTTTTCGCTACGATGTTTCTGTTCAAATGATTGAAATTTATAATGAGCAAGTCAGAGATCTATTGATTACCGATGGATCAAACAAAAGATATCCTTTTAGTTGTTACTTAAAAGTTATAGAATACATGACTAACTTCTGCATTTGTTTTTGTTTTTTAAAAATACTAGTTATTCTCAAGATCAAACCAGCCTCTATTGGCAATGCTTGCCCTTAACAATTTATACATTAGAAATTCGTAGTAACTCTCAAAGAGGGCTCAGTGTACCAGATGCAAGCCTTGTCCAAGTATCATCAACAAATGATGTTATTGAACTAATGAACCTGGGCCACAAGAACCGTGCTGTTGGAGCAACAGCACTTAATGACCGTAGTAGCCGATCTCACAGGTGTGTATCCTAGTCATTGTCCTATTATCCGCCAATTGCTTCTGTGACATATTTGTTATTAAAATACTTGACTATTGGCTTCTATAATTATCATTTGGCAGTTGCTTGACTGTTCATGTTCAAGGAAGAGACTTGACATCTGGAGCTGTCCTACGGGGATGCATGCATCTGGTTGACTTGGCAGGAAGTGAGAGGGTTGACAAATCCGAGGCGACAGGTGATAGATTGAAAGAGGCACAACATATTAACAAATCTCTTTCAGCTTTAGGTGATGTCGTTGCTTCCCTTGCCCAGAAAAACCAACATGTCCCTTATAGAAATAGCAAACTCACACAATTACTCCAAGATTCACTTGGTAAGTCTTAAGAACTTGGTTTGCAAATGTCTAATAGGGTAGTTCTACTATATTTTCGACCGCTATATTCTTTTGTAGTCCTCAGTTATACAATTCTATCGCATTTGTAATTCTCATTATGTTGTTTTGGCTAATTTCAGGAGGACAGGCCAAGACATTAATGTTTGTTCACATTAGTCCAGAGGCCAATGCTATTGGAGAAACAATTAGCACACTGAAATTTGCAGAAAGAGTTGCTACTGTTGAACTTGGCGCTGCTCGAGTAAACAAGGATGGGGCAGATGTCAAAGACCTCAAAGAACAGGTTTATTTTCAAAATTTGACCTCTTTAGTTCTTCATAATAGTTAGGAAGCCTTGAGATTGCCAACCTTACAAAATTAATCGTGCTTCAGATTGCCAACCTTAAGGCGGCGTTGGCTAGAAATGAAGGAAATTCAGAATATTCTTTGTCCGGCAGCTCTGGAAAATATAGGACAACAGCTAGCGAACTATCACCCTATCGTGCAGTTCAGCGAGGTGCAGATATCGTGGATGATCCCTTTGGATGCCGGCAACCAATGGTTGATGTAGGCAACTTAGAGGTATGCATACTCTTTCTGTTCATTGTTATCTAATACAGATTAAAAAAATATATAATTCCTTGATATTACAATGTTTGTTATAATCGATTCCTTATGCGGTTTAAGAAGAAAGAAATTCATGCTTACCAATAAAACAGCCTAATTTTAAAAATTCGAAATAGTTGACTATTCCTATTCCTTAATGAAATCTGATAGAAAGTTTAAACCGGTCCTGCAGCTTCAGAGCAATGCCATATTGAGACAAAAAACTCAGAGCTTTGATTTTGACGAGATATTAACAAATTCACCATCCTGGCCCCCGGCGAATAGTCTTGTTCAAAACTGTGTGGAAGACGATAAAGAAACCGGTTCAGGAGAGTGGGTTGATAAGGTCATGGTAAACAAGCTAGATGTGAACAAAACTGGCAACATGTTAGGGTGTTGGGAAGCAGATAACGGGAACTTATCTGAAGAATTTTATCAGAAATATCTTCCAGATTCTTCCAAAGTATACTCGGAACGATCCTATAATATGTTCATGAGAGGCAACCAGTTTAACATTGCTGGCTCAGATGACACCGATGATGTTGATGCTGCAACGAGTGATTCCTCAGAACATGACTTGCTTTGGCAATTTAATCATTCAAAAGTTACAAATATAGCCATTGGAAATGAATCAAAGGGTAGAAGACTAGTCTCAAAGTCAGCAAAAAGTCCTGAGTTGAGGTAATACAAAAATGCTCCTCTTTCATAATGCTCATCATACGTTCACTTAGATATGTTACTATGAGTTTAATTTTCATGCACCTTCAATATTTAACATGTTATAATTTATATACATGATATTTTTGCAGCAAGAATAGTATTCATTCTTCTACCGCTCCTTCACCTTCGCGGAAACAAACAAGTGGCATCTCACATCGAACACCAACAAGGCAACCAGCTCCAGTTGACATGAAACGTAAAACTGGTTCTAGAAAATGAACATGATGTTTCTAATTAAAGTGTTTTCTTTTCTTGTATTTTTTGTTTGTTTTTTCACAATTTTTTTAGTTTGAGGAGAGTTTTTTACACAAAAAGAAAAAATTCATATTTTTTGGCTGGGTTTATGCTTGTAATAGTTTTCTAATTTGTTGTATTTACAGAGATAATGGAGCAATAATGCCCGTTGCTTGTACATGTTTATGGCATGACATTCTTTTATTTATCGTTAGAGCTTTCAGGTTATGTAAAAATTGCAAGAGTTGTCTGATTTGAATTGTTACTTGTCTGCTTGACAATTTTTCTTTTCTCCTCTTGGTTGCCACTTTCCCTTAAAAAATCGTACTCCATTATATTCAATTTTCTTGTAACTTTTGTTACCTTGCTTTTTCTGAACCAGCTCAAATAAATGAGAAGAAAATATGACTGATAAAAATATTGAAATGAAGAAAAAAAAGAAAAGGAAGGAAAAAAAAATGGAATGAAGAGTATGATCTCTTCAATATGGATGTCATGACTATAATACTTGATAGTGTTAGGAACCCAATATTCAAAATATTCAAAAGTAATTATTACATAAGATTAACCACTACAATTTCATAGCAAAACTTTCTTTAGAGAAGATACAAAATCGGTCCAAATTATTATGGTTCTTTACTGAATAATTCTCAATGCCTCATCTCTTACTACCATACTTATCCTTTATATAACTATCATTCCCTTCTAACTAACTAGTCACATTAACAAATATAATTCATTCTTTTGTTTGACACATTTTTTGAGCTTAAGCCCAAACAAAGTACCTAACAACACCCACCCTTGAAAAACAATCTTACCTCAAGGCTGAGATATTGCATCTCTTGCTGCCAAATATTTCCTTGGCACAAAAATTTGTCTCTATCAGAGCTTGAAGAGCTCAAAGTTCGACGACAATCGCATGTATAATTTGAATCTTGTAAGCCACCGCATGAAGATCGATGTCTGGTGGCTCTGATAACGGAGGTGGCTCAATAACAAACACTTGCTCCTTTCTTTTTGCCTCTAATTCATTCTTCCTTTAAATATTGGTTTTGTTTCTTGATTTCGGTAATTCGTTTTAATTAGAGGTGGCAATTGGATTCATTAAGACAAAATTTATCCAATCAATCTATTAAAAAATTCATCCAATCTATCCACCACATAAAACAATAAGTTAATGGATTAAATTAAATCCATCCAATATATTTTAAGAATCCAATAATTAAAAAACTGTAATTTTTTCAAAAAAAATCGAATTTTTTTTCAAAAAAAGATGATTTTTTTTTCAAAATAAAAAACAGATTTATTTTTGGAAAAAAAAATCAATTTAAAAAAAAAACAATTTAGAAAAAAAAAAAAATTTTCTCGAAAAAAAACTGACTTTTTTTTTGGAAAAAAAATCGATATTTTTCAAAATTTAAAATATCAATTTTTTTCTTGAAAATACAAAAAAAAAAAAATTTAACAAAAATTTCAATTTTTTTCATGAATATATTAAAAAATAAATTTTTTTAAAATAAAAAAAAATGAATTTTTCAAAAATAAAATAAAAATATATATTTATTTTTATGAAATAAAAAAAAAAGTTGGATAGATGGATATCCATCCATTAAAAATATGTTAATGGATAGATAGGATGAATTTTATTCTTAATGGATGGATTGAATTGGATAATTTTAGTGGATTGTTAATGGAGGAAATTTTACCCCATACCCCTACATTTATACCCACACCCCTACACTAAAAAATATTGGACCAAAATACCCTTGTTTAAATATCTATAATTTCGTAAATTTTTTCACTTTCACTTCATTTCCATTTCAAGTCTTTCGGAGGTCTCTATTTTCATTTACACACCGGAACTCTTCCACCAAGTCTTCCGGAACACATTTGTTTTCCAATACATACCGGAACTCCAAGAGTAAGTCTTCCGGTTTGTACTTTGTTTTGCTTTCTTCACCGGAAGACTTAATGCATGTCTTCTGGTTCATGAAATTTTGATTTTGTTAACCGGATGTCTTGACTTAAGTCTTCTGGTACACACATTTTTCGTTTCTTCTCTGGAACTCTTTGCTCAAGACTTCTGGTTCATTGTTTTTTTTTTAATTTTTAATTTTTAATTTTATTTATTTATTTATTTTAATTTTTAATTTTATTTATTTTATTTTATTTTCAATGGTGCGCACACGAGGCAGAGATGGTAGGATCCCTTGTGGACTAAGACGGGGTGAGTCATCGAGAATGGCTGAAGAAGAGCATTTTGATGCATCTGCATCAGCATCTGAGCCTGTTGGATATCCAGGAGGACCGTATGATACATCGCTGTTAGTTAAGTACGACCATCATGTTGCTAGACATATATGATTCGGTGAGGTAAGTAAACGAAAATTATCTAATATTGAATAGAATTTGAATTTTTAATATTGAATTTTATAATATATTTACTTTTAATTATTTTCAGGAGAGAGTGTCGAAAAAAGAGTTAAAGGTAGCGGGACATAGCCTGAAGTTGATTCAGAGGGTTCCACTACAACTACCCAGAGAGATGGAGGGCTGGATATCTAGGTCTGGTCTAGCTTCACTCCAGAGAACCAGTTTAACAAAGATAGACACGAACCTAGTTCCCGCCTTGTTGCACCCCAAAATTTGCCCAACTTTTTTCTTTACTGGCTTTTGTTTCATTGCATTTCATACAGCATTAGCATTTGCATATCATTGTCCATGTACAGAGGATCAAGGGGGTGTGCACATCAAGAAGAGGTTATCAAGGCCTAAGCCTAATCAAGAGGTTGCATTCAAGTTGTCCAGGAGCTTATCACTATCCTAAGAAAAAGTCAAAGAGCAGGTGAATGTATGTGGTTGTATCTTCTGTCTTAGAGGCCATGAAAAGGTCACCAGATGATTTTGAATCCATAGATATGGGTGTAAAGAATTAAGAAAGCTCATGGTATGTCTTGAGAGTCATTTTGGAGCTCATTCAAGCCATTATACAAAGTACAAGAGGCCACAGCCAGAGGTGGTACAGCTAGGGTTTCCATCTGGTCAACCCTCAGTCAACTGAGAAATTGGAGGAGATTAAGACTCTACTCCAAGCCACTATGATCATAGAAGGTTGTGTTGAGACATGTCATATGCCATTTCAAGATCAATTAATCAATATTCAAGAGTGTGAGAAGTTACTGAGCTAGGGTTTCTAAGCTTGACAGCGTAAAATCCTCTATTTTAGTGCCCAACTTCAAGACCACATAACTCAAGATACAAGTTTCATCTCATCTTGACATCAACAAAGGACTTGTATAGCATGTTCTTAGCTTTCTTTTGAGTACTATAAGTCATTCATTGGATTTCTAGAACTCAAGTTATGAAGCAGACAAGTTACAGGTCATCAGATGAATGTGATTTTGGTACTTGAAAGTCAACCAACTTCCATGCTATTTTTGAGCTAGAAATATGTCTCTCATATCCTTGACCCAAACATGAATGTTGTTCCTCATGATCTTAGATTTCCAAAGAGTACTAAAAGTCCTTGATTGGATTTGTAGAACTCAAGATATGGAGCTTGCAAGGCAAGGGTATTTTGGGAAACTTTGATTATAGGTCATTTTAAGTATAGGTCCATTTCACCACTTTGCATACCTCAAATTCAAATCTTTCCAACTTGAAATTTGCTCAAAATGGGATCATTTTCTCAACCAAACATAAAGGTATCATTGCTTTGGCTTGGATTGGAGAATGTGTGAAGAAAATTTCATGAAAGGAAGCTTGAAAATGGCTAGTTTGGATTCTATTCAATTTAAATCAATTCATGTCATATTGGTGCATTTTTTGAGTCCAAAGAATGTTCTAAGAACAATGGGAACATTATCAACCAAGTTTGAGTACATTTACATGAGCAAATTCAAGGTTACTTCACTTTGAAGTAACATAATTCAAATCCACCATTGATGCAATTCCAAGGGCCAAACCTCCACCATTGGATTCATTATATCACCAGCAACAAGAGTGAGCCATGTTTGAAGAATTCTAGCTTTGTTTTCATGGATATCACAAAGCTTCAAAAGTGGAAATTTGGATTTTTCAATTGGACTCCATGGGATTCAATTGGGCCTAAAATCTATCAAGATCCATTCCATATAACTCCCTGATGATTCACAACCAAAAATAACTAACTTTAGAGCCAGAAATAACAGATATCAGTTTGGAAAAAGTAGTGAAAAATTGAAATTCGATTTTGAAGTTTTCTCCATTTTCAAGTGAAATTGAGGTTGCAAAGAGCTTTAGGAAGATCCAAGCAATGATTTTAGGCAGTTAGCTTGAAGAATTGGCAACCATTGAAGGTCCAGTGCAAGCTTTTAACCAGGTATGTACAATTCAACATAGCTCACTTTCTAGGGACCTTTTTCACGCCATTTTCACATGAACATGTTCCCCTAGATTAGGAGATGGATTCTGGATGGTTTTTATGCTTGATGGCAACAATCCTTAATACGACGTGAAATCTTGCTAGCTTCGGTTTGAGTTATTTATAGGTTAAAAATAGAAAAGAAACATGCCATGATGATCTAGGGAGAGAGACGAATCGATTGGTACCAAAAATCGTGAGTTTTGGTTCATTTGTGAAGCTGGCACTATTCATCGTGGCCGGAGAAGACGACCGGAGGTCTCTCCGGCCACCGCCTGTAACTTCCCACCATTTCCCCTTTTCAAATGTCAGGCGCTTGCATAGCCGTTAGATCTTTTGATTTACTCCCGAGCGATCGGTCATGATTCAACCTGGTTGTGTTAAAAAAAATACATAAGCTTGCGTGTCACAATGATAGCCTTTGGATCTTAGTTGAACTTTGGACCTCCATCTCATCTCACGCCCATGATTTAGCCTCATTTTATGTTGGATTTCTGATGCATGCGTGTCATGATATTGACCCTAGGATTAGTTGACTCTATCCAGATCGTGAGGTCGTGATTCAGTTTCAACAAGGTTGACT